CAAAACACTTGTAAAAGTCATATAAAGAGAATAAACTCGCCCCTGTAACAGTTATTTTCCTGGACTCTCCTCCCCTCGCATGGTCTTCCCCGACTGTACATTACAATGAACTGATGTCTTTCAGTTTTTAGTGTTAGCAGCTTGCATAACTGGGCGTTTTCTTCCCATTTCTTCTCTCTCAGCTGCTTAGCGCCCAGTAGAGCAGTGGATGATGGGAGCTCCGACACGGCATGATCTAAAAACCCACTGGCGCTTTAGTGTGCCTCAGCTGGCTTATATAACCCCGTGTGGATGTGCAAACTGCCTTGCTATTGGGAAAGCTGAGGACTGGCGGAGCAGACACACACACACACACACACACACACTGAGAAGCTACTGATATGTGGTGTTTTTATTTGCGAGTGTGCGGATGTAAGGACAGCGGATCAGTGTTTGTGTGGCGGAGCGGGGGTGCTCAGCAGAACATAGTCGGATTTGTCTGTTTTTCTGCTCGGCAACCACATCACCAAATACCTCCCTCCTCCTCCTCCTCCTCATCCTCCTCCTCCTCCTCCTCACTACGCTGTCTGATGACGTCACCGGTGTGTCCCCTCGATTTTGGACCGGCGATCTCCCCCGGTGATGTCACTTCCGCCGGGGCCTTCACCTGAAGTGACATCATTTTGTGTTGCATAACTATCCCCCCTCTCCCTCGCCCGCATGTGAGAGCAGAGGCAGCTTCTCTCCATCTCTGGCCACCCAGAGGCGCCGTGAAACTCCTCATTATGGAAATACCAGGTGTGTCCATGAAAGGGAAATGTGCAGATGCAAAAACACATCAGCGGGGTTTAACACGGAGACGCTCGTCCTCCGTGACCTCAACATGCACCTAAGCAAAAAAAAACCCAACAGTTTCAAGGCTGTGCAGTTGGTGCTGTACAACTCCTGACGTGCAACACTACGGGTGTGAGGAGATGCTGGGAGAGAGACAGCGATCGAGAGCGGCCTGACCTATATAAGAAGGAGGCTGAAATATTTATGGATGTGAGTGTCCTAATTGGCAAGCCACTGGGAGCACTGCGGCCTTCTCCTCCAATCACAGCCGGCGAAGAGGTTAACGCACACTCAAAAAGCACTCAGCGGTGGTCCGAGGGCCGGAGCGCGGCCTCTACCCCGCCACTGTCATGCCCAGCCTGAGAGACGGCTCGTTATGAGTCTGATCCTGCCTTCGCCGCCGCTCCAGCTTTGTTAGATTCATTACCAGAGCTGTTATCATAACTGTTCTCCGTGGCACATACGGACGGGAACAACCGCTCAGAGCGCTAAGTCAAACACAGCCTAATTGGCTGGGCTTAATCTCCAGCACTGGCACGCACAGCTCGGCTCGCTGAGAGGCCTCGATTACTGCAGATGTAGACGAGGAGACGGACACTTTCTGACTCGTAGTTTCAGATCAGTGCAGGCTGCAGCAGGACGGAGGAGAACGGGGTCGACTGGGGAACGGGATGTTAGTGTGTTTATGCAGAACAATAGAGTTTCGGCTAAAACTGGATACTGAGGTGGCATATTATGAAATATACCAAAGAAAACACAAGTTAGAATCAGTATTATCCAACTGAGCCATAAGATAAATTCCACGTTCCATACTACTGATGGGGAAATTGTGTTAATTAGCCACAATATTTAGAACTACTACATTTAAAAGAGGAACTCCACTGAATTAAAGTCTGTTTACAGGTGCAGTTTTTACAATAAATGTGAAACACTGTTTGAAGAGCAGCAGGAGAAAGTCTGGCATGAGCTCACTCAACTCAACAAACTGCATTACCACGTTGTCAGACTTGCCAGCGTACATTGTTTCAGAGTTAAACGCGCTTCCTGTTTGTAGTTCATGTAAGTCATGTTGCAATCTTCCAGTACATCCTAAATTACATGTTTTGTGTGTCGTCCCCCCGACTTTTTGGTGCATGTTAAAGTTCTGCAAACTAGGGCTTCAACTTTACATTATCATCATTGTCACCTAATCTGCTGATTATTTTCTAGTTTAATCTATTAGTTGTCTCAAAAAAGCCAAAATGACGTCCTCAGATGTCTGATTTTGTTCACAACCCAAAACATTCAGTTTACTGCCATGGAGAAGTAAAATAACAAAACAAAACTATAAGTATTCAAATTAGAGAATCTAGACTTTCTGTCTTATTAAAAAAAAAAAAAAAACGGATGAATCAATTGATAAAATTGTTCATTCCAGCTGTACTTCAAACTTACAAAGTCAATATTCCATGGCATAGGAAAATATTCTCCCATAGAAAACATTGTTCTTTAGCCCTTATTTGAAGTCCAGGTTTTTCTTCCGTTACTTAACCATCATGTAACTTAGTTGTAAATCGCCTGCCTAAAAGCTAGTTTTTGGCCCTCAAACACAGAATTTGCAGCTTCCTCACAGTTTTCCAGTGTTTCCTTGCTGGAGCCACTTACTACTGTGATGTACAGTATGAGGGAAAATAATGTTTGAACAGTAGAGCATCCACACTCGTGATGCACGATCTTAAAATTTATGTTTGATACCAATATCCGATATTAAGATTTCTGATATCGCCGATAACCAACATTACCGATGTCAATATTCAATTGTTGTTCACACCAAAAAATGAGTATACGTAAGCACTGTGAGAACGTACAAACTATTCAAAAGAAGCCCATACCAAATTAGACCACGCATTCTTCTTTATTACGTAGACAAAAGTAAAACATATTTAAACATATTTAACATAGCAAACATTCAAGTCCAGGACCATGTAAGTAAAAATATCTGTGAAATAGCAGCAACACCAAATGTAGAGACGAAGGCGCTAATGTTAAACAATCATCAGTTTTTCACATCGGCTAAATTTGTTCATCGGATTAATACCAATATATCGGAAAAAACACTAATATCGGCCGATACTGATGTAGTCGCTGATATATTGTGCATCCCTAATCCACACATATTCTATTAGATCCCAGAAAAAAAGCTATAAACCTGTATATGTGCATAATCTGGGCTCTTTCATAAATCCTTAATGAAGTCACGAGAGTTTCTTTATCATCAAGTGCTGAACTTTGTATCTCCAAAGTGTCTCCAACAGCCTGAGCATCCAATGACCCAGAGGTTGCTGCAACATCCAAGGTTAGACTCCCAGCCTCTTGTAGCAAGACTCTTCTCTCATGTGACCTTACTCCCCGTCTGTCTACACTGTCCACGGTCAAAAATACGCAAAAATCCTCCAAAAACAGTAAAAAAAAAAAAACCCAAATTTTCAAAATCTGTGAAATAAAAACTAACTCTTGAAACTACATCAAATCTTCCTGTTCGACTTAATATCTGAAGCTTATTTTCTAAAGTTCAGTTAATTTCTCTGGTTCTACTTTATCAAAACTCACAAAAACAACCGGTTCTTCAACTAAAGTTCAGTTGACTTAAACCCAGCCTAAAATTATAAAAGTGGAAAAGCGGGAAAAAAATCTGAGACGAGTTACAAAGAAATGAGCTACACTGCTGCTCCGAGTGTCGTGCACCCAAATCTCTGTGGCAGGTGGTTAAACTGCATTGTGGGTAATGTAGGCACCAGGGTGTGACAAGGAAGAAGACTGTACTTCTAAGCCATCAAACACATCCAAAGCCACCACATCCACATGCCATATTCTGTATTGAACACATGCAGAAATAGAAAATAAACTGCCATTAGCAGTTAGCTTAGCACCAGTGATTGAGTGCCCTTCAGTAGTCACTGAAGGAACCAGACTGACACACCCTGCAACTCAGGGCAAACCCAGAAAATCATGAATGTCTGTTAGTTTTATGAACACTAGCAAATAACATCAAACATACAAACACTGCTCTGGTGTTACTGACAGTCACATCTCTCCTCGAACTCTGCAGCAAAACTAGCTGATCAAACCGAAAAATCAGAGCTTAGATTAGAAACTGCAGTGTGATTACAGAATTTCCAGTAATGATCCCTTACATCTCTTGATACTGAAGAAACATAAAACGTAATCACATTACTGAGCAACAGTGAACTGTACCGTTTGCTAACAGCTAACAGCAGGCGAGAAGCGATGACTAAGTTACTGTGTCCATATACACTTTGAAATATGGATATGCGGAGAGCAGCCAATGCTTTTCCACTGCTGTCCAAAAATGTTTCTTTATGAAAGCTGTCTTCACAGATTGCCTTAACTGAATCAAACAGGAAAATCCTTCCAAAATGGAAAATTAAATGAAAAGCTGCTAAAGTAACAGGAGATCTCCCGAATTCGTGGGAATAAAATCATATTTATACAGTCATTTCTGTCTTACTGTAAGTTACACAACAGGGGAGCAGAGCTGTAACCATAGAAACGTCTCCCGCTTGCATCCGTTGCTACACTGTGATGGTGACCATAGAAACGGCCGTAACCGTAGCAACATAAACAAATGAAGGTACCTACTCAGTGGCAGGACTATGACTAATTAAGAGCAATACTGGATAAAACCTTCCATGTTTCGACTGTCTGTTCTTCACCAGAATCGCAGCTCAGACACGTTAACCGGACTATTGACCAGACCATAGTAAGAGTGCATCAAGAGCTCAGAGCCATTGTTGTGATTTTTAGGATTAGCAGGCAAATGAGTTCGACAAGCGTCTCTGTCTTGCTTGCACAAAGGAAAAGGGAGCAGAAATCAATGGGCTGTGTTTACAGGGTACACAGCCGACTGTAACACTGCACGTTATGTTACACACAGCCAAGCAGTAAAAACAGACGAGCTGCCTGGCAGGGCTCAGCCTGGCCGGCCTCGCGATCAGAGCAGGCAGCACCGGCAGCACCGGGCCAAGAGCTGCTACTGGCACCCAGTTCCAGTCTGAGCAAAAAGTGGGACAAATCTCAAAAAGACATCTGAGAAGGAGTTTTTTTTTTTTTTCTCTCTCTCTCTCGTGTGGTCACTTCTAAGACAAATGGTGTTTCTCTGTGTAGAAATCAAGAGGGATTATACTCACGTAAGAAGTACTCGGATGGGTCTGCTTCATAATCTGTTTCCTCTGGAAAGTGGTCTATCTGTTTACACATCCCTTTGAAGTTGCCTGCAGGGAAAACAGAACAGACAGTTCAAACGGATGATCTTCAAATGTTGACCTTTTTTACAGCTGGAATGATCAGTCAATTAGTTAATTAGCTGAGAGAGACTGATTCTGAAAACCAGTGAAGTCAAGCAAAAACGGAGAAACTTCTCTTGTCGTTGTTGATTTGCGATATAATTTTTCTGCTTAAGATCCACTGTGTTATAGATTTAAAACTCCCTAAACGTGACACACAAGGAGCATGACAGATTTTTACAACACTGACACGACAGTTTAAACTCAGATGTGCTGCATAACATATATCCAAAGCTAAAACAGCCTTTATGATTTGCTAATTGTATTGCTTCAAATTGAGCTCGTTGATGATAAATTCAATACTTTTACACAGTCAGGCATAAAGAACCTCTGTGGGTTCCTCACCATCACTACTGTAGAATAACCTTTGAGTTCCAAATGGCTACTCGTCAAATTCCTCAGAAAGGTTCTTCAAAGAACTGTTTTGTGGAGTTTGGGTTTCCATTTTGACATTTTTATTCTTATTTCTATTTCAGTGGAATACTTTTTTTTTTTAAACCCATAAACATGATTAAAAAAATATTACACAGTATTGTAGATCATTCTAAATAAAACAGACTTTATGTTTAGATAAATAGGGACCTTGTCGCAAGTCATTTGCACGCAAATCCATCACCAGACAAGATCCCAATTTACCCAAACATTATATTTTACACTGTACATGGCGAAGTATTGCAATTTACACAATTTAAATAAAACTAAAAATAAAACAAAAGTGTAAATGCAGGTGTGAAGTGTAAAGTAAAAACAAAATATCCAGAAGTTGCATGCTTGTGATCTTATTTGTTGAACTTGTTTCCTAGTTTGACATGTGTTGTACTGTAAAGCACTTTGTTTTCCAAAGCTGCGATACAAATTTATGTTTTTTAAAGTTTGATTAATCGGAAAAAGATCACTTCAAACTTGGTTGCAGCTCTGCACTGCTCAGTAACGCTGCAGTTTCTCTGCGGGTCAGCACAGAGCGAGTCAGAGCAGCTCATATCTGTGGACTCTGGTTCTCTGTTCAGGAAACCGAGCTGAGCATCAGGCCTCACTGGCAGCAGTTGGCGGCTTGTAAACACGAGCGGTGCAGCTGCTGCGACCTGGAGCTGCTCCAACTGCTGTGCACAGGGAAGCTCATCTCCTAATGCTGCTTCATTTGGCTGACACCTCGCCGTCCACATTCTCCGTCCATCCAGGAGGCAGCGTCTCCCCTGTCTGCTCCTCTCTGAGTGGAGGTTTGGCGTTGATGAGGTCACTCAAGGTGGCGTGGCGGGGGAGGCGCCCATAAGGCGGCCATTACGGCGACCTGCTGCTGCAGCGAGTGGGCAGATGCCGGGGCGTTTGATTGGACCAGATTAGCGTTTCATTAACTTCTTCATCTTCTCTCCCTCCAGTGTCCCTCTAATTAGGTGAACAGGTGTTGGTTACCATGGCGCCAGGTGTTGCCGAGGTGGTCTTGGCAGCGAGGCATGATGGACACAGCGGGGGGGCGGTTATTACTTTGTGAACGTGGCGGCAAGAGGGGGACCCCCCGGTGATGACCGCTCAGGAAAAAAGAGCCATCAAAGCGTCCTCGATTCGCTCCCCCACCTGCGGACAGCGTTGGTGTCGGACGACCAGCGGGTTGGCGAATGATGCCGTCTGTTACGGGACTTTGGCGGGCAAATGTTTGCTTTGATTAACTCAGTGTCACTTGTCAAGTTTCCATCCAAATGTAGCGCAAATTATAACAGAAAATTAGTAAAGGATGATGGGAATTATATGAAATTAAAACTGATAAGTGAACAGTAGGAGTTGAACGCGATGATATCAGCCTCCCCACATATAAAACCTTCAATACAAACTATCGAAATTGGCTCAAAATGAACATTAACAGGCAAAAAGTTTTGCTTAACATAAACATGAAATATACATTTTCTATTTAGATAAAAACTGAAGTAGGTTCGTTGTATTTTTTGTCAGCACCTCCGTAAGAGTTGACATAGTACCATGATAGTTCCACTACAAGGAAGACCTGATGTTCTCTCAAATTAGGTGGAAAACTATGTGCACTTATCAGTAAAATCAGCCAAAATGAGTTGGTAAAAATCCAGCATCGCACATCCTGATCAGGCACATTGGATAAACAGTTGTAGGCGCCAATAAAATCATTAATCCACTGCAGAAACTGAAGCCACAGTGAGATGTGGCTATTAAAGAAAGCCAGTCAAACCTACAGAGAAAGAAAACAATGGTGGAAAATGTGATGGAATTTATGGTTGTTTCAATATCTTTGTTTTTCTGTGCGGCCGCTTTCCAGCAAAGCCAAAAAAAAAAAAGGAGTCCTGTCATAGAAAAATGTGGTTCCTATGCAAACAACTACATTCTCATTTACATGTGTACTGTATTTTAACCCAAACCATGGCTGTTAAAACTCACCTTAGCTGAAATCCCCTCTCCTAACTCTGCTCTATGAAGCCTGTCATCCTGCTGGACACATCCAGGAAGCTATACAACCCCTATGGCCTAAAAAGACCCTTTTCCCTCAAAACCACTGCACCAAGCACAAGAACTGCCATAAGTATGGATTGTCTCGTGGCTGCTCTGAATGCTACATTACTTTAGATTCCAATGTTTAACACCTTGAAGACAGTGGAGATGACAAGATAGTGCATGTATGCATTATTTAAGTGAAAGTCAACTTTATTCATCTCCTTCATGTGTAGAAATAAATAATCCATCTGTCTATTCATCCATCTGCCCAACAAGCACCATTTGATACAAATAAACTGTTGCTAAGGCTTCTTGGATCCTGTGTTTAAATGAGCACTCCACATCAGATGCTCAGTTGGCCAACGCCGCCGACTTCACTGTAGTTTTTGTGATATTTTCCAAGTAGTTTTGGTGCCTAAACGTAAGCGAACAATAAGTGAAAACAAAACTGAAGTCTACAAATAATGATCCCACATGGGACATGGATTTCAGCCTCTTAGGTAGAAGTCTTGTGTCAAACCGATGCCTCCACTATTTGAGTTTCCTTCAAAACATCACTGAGGATGCAGTTTGGTTGTGCAGGACCTGTGACTGCCACACCTGCATTCAAACACAAAGTCAGTAACTTCATGCTTTAAGACACTTTTCTGAGTTTCAGTGCTTTTTTTTTTCTTACACCCATATTGCAACAACAACAAAAAAAAGGCGACGCATAATTCTTCCTTTCATGCAACACGCTCTTGGTTTCTTTAGCATTTGCTTTGTATGCACATTCAGTTAACTTTTGTATTTTCAACACTTCTTTAAATGAAGTAATCTTATGTTGTGCTCGTTTTTTTTGTCAGTTTTTGTGTTGTTGCTTCTGCATCACCCTAAATACTCAGTGATGTTGTTTAGATCAGTTCAGCTGGTTTGTTTTTGATTTTTCTTAGTTTTGGGGCGCAACAAAACCTCAAAAAAATCCAGCTTGGCCCCTCAAAGACTCATTAATTTTTGTTGGAAAACAACTTTTTAAAGATGACTGTGTGGGAACATCTGCACAAATATATCCACTTAATCTCCTCAGACAAAATCCACTGGAGCATTCATTTCTCCGAATGTCTCAGATTTGGACCATAATAAAAAAAAAAAACATTGATTTTCATCAACAGGTTCTGTGGAAATTAGGACAATGGAGAGGGTGAGAGAGATAAAGATGGTGAAAAGCTAGGAGAGAGAGAGAGAGAGAGAGAGAGAGAGAGAGACAATGTAATGGAAAGAAGAGGGAGAGATAAATATAGGCAGGGCAGGTAACAGAGAGGTTTTGAAGGACGGAGAGGGAAGATGGAGTGGGAGGTGGAATACATCAAGTTTGAGTGTCACAGTAATTGCTGAGCCATGAAAAAGCCCTCCAGAGTTAAACGGACCTGCACAGTTTTTGAACTTGATGCTCTGATATGGAAAGTTCTGCAGGTTTTTCCGATCAGCTGTTCACTAAAGCTAACCGCAGCTCAAAGCCCGTAATCCTGCCAAGCTTTGGGAGCGAACTGTAGTTTTCAGAAGCGTGCTGTAGGTGTAACCCCGCTGCCTCCTGCAGCTACTCCCCCAGGCTGCTGCTGGAAATAACAATATGTTCCTCCTCAACTTGCCCGCTTAAATAAGCTTTAAATAAGTTGCATTTCTAGGAGAGCAGAGGAGGGAGGGAAGGAGGGGAGAGCGAGCCTCCTCTCAGAGCATATTTCACCGAAAGACGACTTGTGTTTACATACGACTACATTACACACTCCCAGTGGAGCTGTCTGAGCAAACTAGCGGCAGCAGCAGCAACCCACAGAGCACCATGTGTGTGTCTTAACAGCGTTATCAAGTGGGTGTAAGATTTGGTTTTGCAGCTGGCCGCCCCATCCACAGTTGTGCGATTTGTAATACCAGCTGTGGAGAGTGGCCTATTGGGGGAACCACTTCAATTAGCGTGCTGAAAGATTTATGTGACACTTAACCGCTCCAAACAGTCCTTTTCTTGTAAGACATGTAAACTCAGCAGGCTGGTAAATGTTTTATAATGGCATTTTCATTTCAGAGAGCTCCCCACGTGAGTGTGAACGCAGGGCCGCGGCGTGGAGAGACCCGCTTGGCCATTAAGAGCTTCGGCGGGGGGACGGCTGCTGAACGGAGAGGTGCTAGTGGCGGCTCAGGTGTGCAGCAGGTCAAAACACTCAGAGAGAAACACCTGTAAGCACCGTGGAGCTACAGTGTACAGTGAGTTACTAAAAGGGCTCACAAGGAGTCTGTCTTCTGTTGTTTCATCTGTTCCTGACTGAAGCAGGAGATGACACAGGGAGAGACTTTTAAAAGATACCAATGAGAAAACATTTCTTCCTCCACACACGTCCAAACAAGTTCATTCTCACGTCTGAACTGAAGGTAGTTGCTTCACGCTTATGTGCAGCTAGAAAAAAAAAGAGGTACAAATCTAGCTGTAAGGATGCCACAAA